ATACTTATAAGATCACATGAATTTTTGTAGCACTAAAAACATTAGACACAAATATTGTTCAAAATTTTCAAATCATCTCGGCCAAACTATAATTCATATGCTATAACAAATTACAATTCATGGGGCACTATAGGGAGTTCAAAAGGCTATGGCATAACGGAGATTTATTCTCAATTCTAAATTATACATCTCATGTGAAAATACTAAATAGAATATAAACATTGCAAATTATTTACACAGCCTCAACATCATAAGAATATGGTGCAGCAAATAATTCTCCCAAAGCAATTAGAATTCGAGAGTAAATATGCCAAAGATACTAGATGCGGAAATCACGAAATATATATACATATATATGCGGACAAAATTCATCATAAGCCATAGCTTAAGACTGTCAATTGGTGCGAACAAATTATGCTTCCACTATGATCGGAAAAAAATATTCACAAGTCAGTCAAGCGATCATACATCAAATTAATTGTAAACATCAATTGACAGATCATAATAATAAGCAGACCGTAAAACATTAATTGAATACTAGTAGTTGATATATTTGCGAATTCCCATTAAACCCAAAGTATTCAAATCAAACAACATTAAGCATCACATTGATGCAGAAGACGAAATAATTTGTGATCTTGATAATCATACGGGCTTGATCGATCTTATAGCAGAAAACTGATGAGATAATACCTTGACTGTCCCTTCGTCTTGATGCCACCACTATTCGCTTAGATGGTAGAGTACTCGTGCGGGAATTCAAATTCCCAGAATTTTGAGTGACGTTCGAACAGAATGAACAACAATTCCAAAATCTTTTCCCTTTTTTTTTTTTTTTAATAAAACCCAGATTTATGATGGAAAATAGATTGACAATATGTAAAATCTATGTGTAAAATAGACAAAGATAGAAACAGTAGAAGAAGAGAATATACAACGTGTTATAATATAGATTGACAAAATCGTGCTGATAACGTGTTATAATATAGATTGACAATATGTAAAATCTATGTGTAAAATAGACAAAGATAGAAACAGTAGAAGAAGAAAAGAATAAGAGAGAAGAGATACGCCGTTCAAACCCCCATCTTATTCATTCACTTGAGCCCTTTATATAAGGGAATATAATGTACATGAGTAAATACCTAATGGGCTCCTGACCCATGCCTACAAATCCTATATCTAGGTAATGTCCACAACTTAATATTTACAACAAATGATAGTGATCTTAAGTTAAAGTTGAGTTAAATTTTGGATTGAGATAGATTTTTTTCTAGTTTTTCTTATAAACAAGCGCAACCTTAAGGGGGTGATTGTTTGTGAATAAACGAAAAAAAAAATAAATAAAAAATCAAAACTTAAATATAACCCAACTTTAACTCAACCCGACTATCTTTAACATTGGCAATATAATTAAATAATATCATCCAATTATTCTTATTCATCACCTCAATTTTTAAATTTACTATTCATCCACTCACATAATTTTAACTATCACTTCCAATCATTTTTTTTTTCAACTTTATATCTAATCAACTTTAATTATTTTATTTAAATATTATTGCAATATATTCACTAATTAACCAATACCACTTTGCAACACTTTAATTAACTAAAATTGAATTTTTGTAAAGCTTCAAATTTATTTGACTTTATCACTGAAAATTCACCCGTGAAAAAAAAATGTTTTGAATATTCTCATGTACTTGGATATTATATTTGAATTTTTTTTAACTTGAATGTGGAATAATTTACCAGGAACGCATATGCACGAGTATTATCAATATAAATCCCGTTTAACCATTCACATAAAAAAATTGTAATACTTTTTTCAAAAATAAAAAAAAAATAAAAAAAAAATAAAAAAATCCCATATGTATGCTATTAAACATACTTTTTCATGCTCTTTTTTAAAATATGACATTCTAGTTGAAAGTATGCATATCTGCTGACGAAATCATATAAGCCTAACCGTTAGGTCTGCCTAACACCAGATTTACTGATTCAACAAATAGGATGTATTGTTCATTTGTTTGCTCCAATTATCAACAAACAAAAGGACCACACATTTGCAGTGAAAATTGTTTCATGAACCAGGGAGATTATTTTCCATCTGTTCTTAAGTATATAACCCATTTTGTGTAATATAATCAATCACTTCATCGGCTGTCAAATACTTCACCGACAATCGTCTTGAAATGCAGTCTCTGTAATGGAGAATTGGAAGAGCTGTAAGATACCTTGGAATTAAAATATTCAGATTATTTGCATTACTTCATGAACAAAGAAAATTATTGAAGTTTTCATGTTCTTTTTTCCTTTCTACCTTAGCCCGGTCGAACTGATCTCGTTTGGTACCACTTCATCGACGATTATGATATTATCCTGCACGAGAATGATGTAAAAATCCTTAGATATAAACAATAAAACAAGAATCAGTGTTGATATAAAATAAATATGGAGAATATTATTAACTCTTAATTGTGGATTACCATGTACTCGATCAAAATATCATCCTTAGATATGATATCCTCAACATCTTGGCCACCTCTCCGTATGCAAACCAAACCAAAGTCTCGACAAATGGTCCTAACCTAAAAGAGGTCTTGAAAGATGCATGATCGATATAATGCACAGCACGAGTTGAATATCAAACCTTTACTTATCAAGTGCATTCGATTTGACATAGCATTTATTAATTTTTCCTTAATTTTAAGCAATAAAATTATGCTCAATTATGCATGGAGTTGAATTTTGTTGTTACCTGGTCACGGATCCAAAATCCGGGAATACTGAAAGATTCTAACAGATCAGAACCACAGATGAGCAAGACTTTAAGCGACTCTAAAACCAAGAAAAATAAAGGAGAAAAGAAATATCATTTCCAGGTTTCTTATTGAACTGAAGCACTTAACCGAAAAAAAAAATAGCAACTATAAAATCTAAGATTAATAAGATTAATGATTCCCATTTGCTACGACAAAGTGATAAAACTTGATATAATTAAATAAATAAACAATGATTAGTGACATCATACTCGGTTATGAGTTGCTTCGAAACTTACCACTGGTTACGATTTTACTTTGGAGTAACGATTCCCTAACTCTAGACAAAACCGTTAACGTGCGTTGGTAAGAGCTTTGACTTGCCTGTTGCAATATAAATTTATCTAATAGCCAAAATCAATCCCAAAATAGCTAAAAGAGTTGGATATTCGAACTATAGAAATTTGGATGTTCATGAAAAATCATCTTGAGAGAGAGAGAGATAGAGAAAGAGAGAGAGAGGGAGGGAGAGATAGATAGATAGAGAGGGAGTGAGAGAGTTAAAGAGAGACAGAGATAGAAAGAGAGAGAGAGAGGGAGAGGGAGAGAGATAGATAGAGAGAGAGGGAGAGAGAGAGACTGAGAGAAAGATAGATAGAGAGAGAGAAATAGAGAGAGAGAGAGGGAGAGAGAGATAGATAGAGGGAGAGAGAGAGATAGATAGATAGAGAGAGAGGGAGAGAGAGAGAGACCTCCCATGGATCCACCATCACAAAATCGGAACTTTTACAAGCAAGACTACACATTGCGACACGATGTTCAGCCTGTATGAGACCCTGCAAACTTAAGCAGGAAATATTTAGCCGTTTCATCAACCATAAAATTATCAACCTTAAGAAACTATGACTATGTTTGGTAGACAAATAACCTAATAAGCTAGCTTATAGCTTATTTGGTTAGCTTATAATCTTCATGTATTTAAATAAGCTTCGTTTGATAGGACAAGCTTTTTTAAAAAGCACGAGCTTATCTCATAAGCTTGCTTCTTTAGGTAACTTTTCAAATAAGCCCGTTAAAATTTTTATTCCAGCTAGCTTATCAACTAATTTTACCAAACACTTTTATCATATACAAGCTAACTTTACAGCTATAAGTCATAAGTTATAAGCGATAAGCTCGAAAATTACTGATAAGCTATAAAATAGTTTATCAGCAAGTTCTACCAAACATAGCTTATGAACATCCATTTAGAACCATTAATGATGAATCTTGGAACAAAATCACCATTGTCGGAATATATGAGTTAGGCGTGCAAATGACACTTTGAATTTCTGTAATTTCCGTTATATTCATGTTAAGTGTGTGAGTGATAGGCATGTGCACGTTTTTTTATTTTTTATTTTTTGTTTATCTTTTTGGCTGCGTTTTAGTTAATGACGACGACGTTGTTTTACGTGTGTTTGGATTCAGTATGAAACGACGCTGTATTATACCTGCATGAGCATATTAAATGCTCAGATTTCCCTCTTCATGCAATAACAGAAAATGAATTCGGTTATAGCTATTTCACTTTTTGATCGATCTCTCTCTTAGATTTCTACAACCATCTTACAATGTTGACTAACATGGCATGTTACAATAATGAAGACTTGTAACTAGCAATCCGAGTACCATGTTGAAACAGGTCGAATAAAAAAAACATTTTGCTGCAACTATATAACTTGATGAAATCCAAACAGCCTTCTACAGTTACTATCACTTTGATTTAAATTCTTTGAAGCACTTGAGTGAATAATTACTTGCATCACACTTGAAATGTTCACAACATGCTCGATAGTATGAACGAATATAAATATACAACGATATGGCTAGCTCAGGGAACACTAAATACCTTTTTCTTGTATGCATCATTTACAGGTGACATGTAACCCCCAATGACACAAAAGCCTTTTGAAATTAGAGCATCTCTTGCCAACTCTGACC